CTCTGTGACCTAGGTAGGTGTCTGTGACCTAGGAATTGTGACTGTAACTCACTGAAATAAAGTTGCGACAAGTAAAAATTTTGATTTTTTTCAATCTGTGACCTAAGTGGGTGTCCGTGACCTAGAAATTGGGACAGTGACTCGCTGAAATAGAGTTGTGACCCGTAAAAGTTTTGAATTATTTTAATTTGTGACTTATAAAAAATTACATGTGACCTTAAAATTCTTGATTTGTGACCTACGAAGTTAACTGTGACCTACAATTTTTTATCAGTTTTGATCTGTAACCTCGAAATATTCCGTGACCCACCTCCATATATCTATGACCTTAACAATTGTCAAAAACGGAGCATTCTGTGACCGTAACAATTGTCGTAATCGGAGCAATTGCCGGTATTAAGCGCGGTCGAATAACAGTCGCCGGAGTAGTCGTCGGAGCAATGGGAGGTGGTGGGGGTGGGGTGGGTGGATTATTACAGTTAAATATTTAATTTAATATAATAATTGTGAAATATAATTAATTAATTAAAAGAAAAACCTGATTTTTGCAAATTTAAATTTTGGGACCTGATTTTTAATTTTCGTAAAGTAAATGCCTGAACCATAAATTTTTGTTCACACACGCTTAAACGACCTGCTTTCATTAACGTTTTTCTATAACAAAAATTGTAACATTTGGTCACCAATCTATTGTTTCCAAATCAAGTTCGCCTCTATCCTCAACCTCTAACTAATCGACGTACAATCACACTTCCAAGGAAAAAATAAACGTTTAAATATATTTTAACTCGTCATCTAATCATCACGACAACATGTCAAGCTCCAAAACTCAAGTACTAGCCGAAATTGAAAAATAAAATCCAAATTCATTAGGTTGAATATATGAGGTTAAGTAACGGTTAAACAGAAATTTAAACTAATTTCTATCGACAACAATGAACGGTTATAGATAATCTTGCTCATTTTCAAAGGTTGAAAAATTGAAGAAGAACGATATTTGACAAAAATTACATCATTTATGTAAAATTACGTTCATGCAAAGTTGTGCACAACTTATTTTTCTCTCCAATTTGCCCCCAAAAATATTTAAACTTACGCATATCCCCTCCCCACATGTTGTAATATGTGCTAATATATAGTGAAACACATGTATACTGAAGTAAATAGGCTGATGCCGAATTGATACGGAGTGGAGTGGAATGTACCAAATAGAATGGAGTGGAACGATGAGCAACGAAAAAGGGAGCTAAAGTGAATACCTATGGGACCACATAGGATAACTAAGCATGCGGCCGCATAACTCCTTACTGAAACCGAGTTGAAGGCTGATGAATGGCCTATGCGACCGCAAGCCATTAGCCTATGCGGTCGCATAGTGAAAATTCTGGACATGTTTTTCCAAATTTCGTCTAAACTTTTATTTTGTTAAAAAAAACTTGTGGTATCTTTGTTGGTTTAATTCTATTTTTAATTAGGTTTATGAATTCCATATAAACAAAGTTATTCTTTCATTATAGAAACAACAGAATTTGAGATATATTATTGCGAAACATATTGCTTTCAACTCGTTATTCATTGAATTTATCAAGAATTAAATGCTAAAGATCAACAACACATTCTATCAATAAAATAATATTACACATAAATTCAAAAATTCTTCTTACTTTTTAACCACATATTCTTCCCATCAATCACTATTTCAGAATTTTTTCTTTTTCAAAATGGGTGTCAAACATACCCTAAATATAAATGGATAGATTCATTCTCAATTGCTATAGTTCATGGACCCACGGGGAGTTTTTTTTTTTTTTTTTTTT